TTCCAGGTCCATGCCTCCTCCTTACGAGCCACTCGGTCCGCGAGCTGAAAAAGCTCCGCGGTAGTATGGGGCTCTTTGGAGGTAATCTTTTCGAGCATGCGGTTGTGCCGCACACCCCCCCTGAACGCGTAGATCACCGCGTGTGCAAGGATGCATGGTATGGTGTTGCGGACTTGACAGAACCGCTGAATGTATGAGCGAAGTGACTCATCATCCCTTCGCTGTACTGCGTGCAAGTCCGCCTCTTCACCTGGGCGCGGATATGTGCCTTGAAAGTTCATGGTGAACTGTTGGCACAAATCCTCCCAAGAGTGGACAGATGCGGGTGGCAAGTTCATTAGCCAACCCCGCGCCTGTCCCTTCAGGGCCATGGGAAAGAAATTCGCCATGACCCTGTCGTCACCCCCAGCGGCCTCGATCCCGGTCGTGTAGACCTGGAGAAACTCGGCGGGGTTGACGCTGCCATCATATTTTTCGGCGATGGTGGGCCGGAACCTTGGGGGCCAACGGACGTTCCGAAGGCTCGCCACAAAGGCTCTACAGCCGACACCACCAACCGGGGGCACGGAGGGCCGATCCCCGCGTCCGTGCTGAGGTGACACTCCGGACGAGGAGGCGCCCTCCGTTGCGTGGGCAGCACACCGGCCATTACGCCGGCGCTCGATACTGATGCGGGCATCCGGCCCCCCACGCAGATCTTCCCGGGTCGGAGGCGCTGACGAAGGAGTGGCGGCCGAATGGCGAACAGCGGCCGCCGCTCGCCGCGCCCTCCGTCTTGACGACGCGGAGCCGGTGGTAGCAGCACCAGAGGTCTTGGTGGCGGAGGACCGCCCACCAGCATCTAGGCGCTGCCGCGCCGTCATGACCAATTTGGCCACATCGTCCAGCCAACGTTGGGCTGGAGACTCCGGGTCATGGGCGACGGGCGGGTGACGTAGGAGCGCGCCTGCAGCTTGGAGCGCACCCTGGGGCGTGCTGCCGTCGCCGTAGACGAGGAGGCGACGCTCCCCATCTCGCCGCCCTTCTCCATCTCCCGTGGATGCCGAAGTCGCGGATCCTTCGGCCCTCTCGAGCGCCTTCTCCCGCCTAGGACTTTGGCGTGGAGGGGGCAGTGGAGTACGAGCTCGACGGCGTGGGTTCGGCTCCCCGTCGTCACCGCTAACACTCGGAGAGAGGTTGTGCGCCTTTGCTGGTTCGGCCATTGGGCTGAACAGGAAAAGCTTCGCGCACACGAAAGAGCGCGAGAGCTTAGAAGAACACACGCAGAGGCCACTACCTGGCGCGCCAGATGACGGAGCGTGGAGCTCCTCACCGGGAGACCGCGCTGGCCCCCCTTTGCCGGTTCGGCCGGGGACCCTGGGTGAGATTCTAAGCTCCTAATCTGTGGAAAGTTCGCGAGAGTGGAAACACACAAGACACGGGCGATGTATACAGGTTCGGGCCGCTGAGAAGCGTAATACCCTACTCCTGTGTTTTGATGGATCTGTGTATGAAGAAGCTACAAAGTGCAAGCCAGCCCCTCCTCGTTCTGGATCCGAATCCTCCTCTTCTCTAGGTGGGCAAGGTCCTCCTTTTATATCTCAAGGGGATACCACATGCACCATCTCTCTTTTTTGTGTCGGGACTTCTCCTCTCTTCCCTCTAACTTCACTTCTCTTCATTAATGGACGGAGATTTGTTTGGTTGCCCTCCGAATGACCTTCTGATGGGACGGCCCATACCTACCTCCACTTCCGCCGGAGGCAGGCGCGACGTGGGAACATGGATGTCTGCTGATGACATGACCAGTGTCAGACCGGTCATAAACCGGTCATTCTTGTCCACCACGTGTCAGTTTCACAATCTGCATGTTCGCCCTTCTTCATACAATATCTTGCCTCTAATGGTTAGGATGAAGCCTGGCATATATCTGACCGGGACCAACGTGCCATCTCCAGGAGGTAACACGCCGGCTCCGGCTAGGGACGAGTGCTTGGAGGCACTCATCTTGACGGGATGGGGCGAGGCGTGTGTCAGACCGCCTGTCGCCACCTAATCCACGATCTGACCGGTCTGAGACTGGTCACAGACCGGATAAACGAGCGCGCTGCACTGCGTTACATGCGGCGTGACGCGCTCGTCCAAACCGCAATAAATGCGGTTAGGTGAGCCCCGCTGTGCTCACCTAACCCATACACGCGGCGCAAAACCTACAAGGGGTCGGGGCGCCTCAGCCCTCGGGGCCGAAATGGGAGCAGTCCGACCCCTCGGGGAGACAAAGAGAGGGGGGGGCGGCCACATCACCCTCGGGCCCGACCCCCCCGAGGGGGTCAGGCCTCGTGGGTGATTGCTCCTGCCCAAGCCTCTAGTCATGATACTCCCGGTCCCATGTCACCGACAACAACCTTTTCTCGAGTAGTCCAGCCATGGCCGGTGCTATGAGATAGGTCGTCGGTCTTCGTTGGTAGGTTGGGTGCGATAACTCCGCATTTGTCGAGAATGTTCTCGATAATGGAGTGTACTCGACCATAACCTACTCGAGTGCTCAATTGTTCCTGAAAAATATTTTCTAGAAGGCAAGATATATAGCAGAGAATATCGAGTATATATTCGAAAAACTGCCTGGATTTTCTAGTATTATCAGGATGTAACGAGCAGATGGAATTATCAGGCATTATGTAAACCGTAAATAGGCATGATTTATACAGAAGAAAACAGAGCGAGCCCCCAGCGTTAGACCGTGGTTGGCCTAACATCGGAAGCACTCGTGCAACGGAGATTGTATAAGAAACATGCTCTAGGTAAACATAATAAATTATAGACCTGACAATACGGTATGATCTCATACCGAATAGGTACGATAAATTATATATAAAATATTGCGTACCTGTGTATATATATGCCGGATATATCTACGGAATTAGTAGATTAATTTTAAAAAATTAATCTACTAAATACCTTACTGTGCATGCTTGGTGAGGAACAGTAACTCCTTAATTGATCCGTTTGTGTGTATGGTACTGTTCCCCGTGTAGGCCTGCACCTTGTATTTTGGTCCTTTAATTGATCTGTTTGCCACGTCGTCGGAACGGCCAACCAGGATGCTGCCTAGAGATTGGATTCTAGTGCAAGCATAAGAACTCCTCCAATCCGACTTAGAATTTGCACCAATGAACAGATCAATCTGGCTCTTGATTTAAGCTCCACGGCACTCGTTTTGTTGGTGGAGATAAGCCGATCTCTCACACCAGTCAATGCCGCATACGTGGAGGAATTAGTGTCGGATTGCTCTTGGATGCCGCCGACATAGTAGCTCTCCTTGGCGACGATGGTTCCGATCTCGTCGGACGATATACTCCGGTCGGGTTAGATCTCCCCATAACCGAAGTTGTCGAGTAGATTGTTGTTGGAGAATCCATCTTTGAACCCATCTCGTCGAAATCCTGAAGCACCAAAATCCCCCTACCTGGCGCGCCACTGTCGACGTTTGATGCCGTCATTCTGGTATTTGCTTAGTATGGGGACCGTTGATGCTAGGATATATGCGAGACTGAGGTAAAAGAGATGGGGACGAGGATTTTTATACATGTTCGGGCCCCTGAGTTGTCAGGTAATAACCCTACATCCTGTTGGCCGGAGTCGGAGTTGCTTTTATTCACCATAATCACACCAGTACAACATGTGGATAGCCTATCTAACTGTTGTCGACATGGCAGTCTGAAGGTCTGACTCGTAGTCTACAACAGGGTAGCCTTCCTCCTCGAATCCGTGTCTAGCGAGATCAGAGATAGTGCTTTCGTCTCTCCTGACGGTATCCGGAGACACCGTAAGGGAGTAGCCATGCCTATCCCTAAAGTCGATATCAGGCGGCGTGTCTTGGCGTATGTAGGCTTGTATGTTGATTGTGTTGGGTGTTGATGAGGTGGTCGTCCCGATCGTGGTGATCGTGTTGATCGTCTCATGGTCAGTGTGTGTCCCCTGTCCTCCTAGGGGGCTTGTATTTATACTCATAGGTGTCCCCTTGTCCAAGTAGAACTAGAGAAACCAATATGGATATAATCCGAGTAGTTCTTGTCATTTCCATATAGAATTTTAGTTGTCTTTCCTTATCGGAACTCCTCCTAAATCCAAAGATTGTTTCCGTATAGGACATGGTATGTGGTGGGTCCTACCGAGATTTAGTCAACTACTATTAGGTATGTGGTATCTATAACCATGACAGATTGTATCCTTAATCAGCAACAGCTAGCGACCCAATCAGAAAGTTCAGAAATCAGTCAGTATGAGTGAAGGTAGACTCAGAAACTAAAAATCATGTATGATTTCAGCTTGTCCTTGTTCTATTTTGTACTTGTAAGTTTCCATACCTGTTGCTTTTCTTCATCTGTTGCACGATATCTTCTGCATACGTTTTTGCTTCTTGCATTCTTCATGTATAAGCAATTGTTGCTTATTTAGTTATTTTTATCTTGTTGCTGGAATCAGTAATCACCCACTGTGACAGATCCTTTTCTCCTGGCATCTTTCTATTGCACATTTGCACTGATATGAACAGGTACAATATATACGGTTTTTAGTTTAGAGAAAATCCATGAAATGCCATTGATAAACACCCTAATCCAAGAAATGCCATCGACGAACGCGACTTCCAGCAAATGCCATCGTACGAGCCATTTTGTCCCAAAAATGCCATCGCCGTCACTTTCACTCTGTTAGACACCGTTAATTTTGTCAAAATGACCAAATTACCCTCCTCAACAAAGGATAAATCCCCTTCTCTTCCATCCCATCGCCGGCCACTATTTCTCCCCTCCACTTCAATCGCCAGCTCCCGATGGGCGACAGCGGCAAGGCGACGCTCCCAGGCGGTGGCACGTCAGTTCCAGGCGTCGACGCGATGGGCGGCGAGGTGGCAGGCGGTGGCGCGGGGCTCCCAGGCGGCGGCGCGGTGGTCCCAGGCGGCGCCTGCGGCAGCGGTCCCAGGCGTCGACGTGACGGGCGGCGAGGAGGTGGAAGGCAGCGGAGCGTCGGTCCCAGGCGGCGGCACGTCGGCAGCAGGCGTCCGCGCGGTGGTCCCAGGCGTTGACGCGATGGGCGGCGAGGAGGTGGCATGCGGCGGCGCGGTGGTCCCAGGCGGCGGCGCGTCGGCCGCAGGCACGGTGGTCCCAGGCGACGGCGCCTCGGCAGCAGGCATCCGCACGACGGTCCCAGGCATCGACTCATTGGGGGAGGTTGGCCGGTGATGGCGAAGCTGCTCTTCTTCTGCTGCCGCGCGGCCGCCGCCGTGCCGGGCCACTTTGCGAGCACGCGGTGGCCGTCGCCAGTGGCGGATCCACCTCCCGGACAGGTCGGGCGGCCGCCCGTGCTCCGTCGATGTCGTCTTCACTACGAATAGCTGTCAACACCTATCAAAATTAGTCGATCACCGAAAAACGCTATTACTCGCCCGGGCTCAACGATGCCGCTAGCTCCGCCACTGGCCGTCGCCGGCGCAGTGTACGACGACATCGTGGGCGCGTACCGCGGGTTCATGCCGTCGCGGACGCGCGCGTTCCTCGTCATCCACCGTGGCCCGCTCGAGCCGCACGTCCGCTGCCCCTACTGCGGCGCCCGCGTCTGGAGCATGACCGCCGCGGGGCTCGCCCGCCTCTCCTCCTCTTCCTCCAGCGACGGCGAGCGAAGCGCCGACTCCGACTCCAACCACAGCGACGACGAGTCATTCGCCGCCGCTGACGTGAGCCTCCCACTTCCTCTGGCTAGCCGCGTGTCAGGCCGGCGCCTTCGAGGCAGGCCGGCCATGTGACGCATCAAGCATTAGCGGTAGTTTTTTTTTTACCGGTGGATTGGGATAGTATTATTTGGAGTGAGGGCAATTTAGTCATTCTTGTAAAATGTTTTGTTCTAACGGTGTGGACTAACGGTGTGATGGCATTTCTGGGAGAAATAGGCTTGTACGATGGCATTTTCAGGAAGTTGCGTTTGTCAATGGCATTTCTAGGATCAAGGTGCTTGTCGATGGCATTTTATGGATTTTCTCTATTTTAGAGTACAAACCTGTGTGGTTTGCCGTTCTTTTCTGGTGCAAATAATGGTACACTGATGCACATATCCTGAAAACTGAAACCACTTCTGAATTTTGCACTTGTTCTCTAATATGTGTACTGATTTGACTAGATATTTTGCACTTCGTAAATCGAATAGATCTACTTAATTATGTTTGTGATTTGTTACTTGATTCGGGTGGAATATTGTTTGAATGACTTATATTTTTACTCATGTTTTTTGTCCATGTGGTCAGGCCAATAACGATTGCATTGTGATTATTTTGGTTCCTCTAGTGTTGCAGCTATAAGAACAGATACATATTTTTGTTCTTTGTTATTTTTTTTGTTGACTGATGTGAAGATGAGACTCTTCATTTGCTTTAATTTGCTGGTGCAAGTGAGGTTAAAGCACTAGACAATTTTATCGATCTTACTGTTTTACAATCTGAGGTGTGATGTGTCACCTTGATCTGCTTTTTTTTTTCTTGCAATTCTGAGGCCATTTTGAGATGATAAGGTCTGCAAGGCTGGACTTGCAACACCTGGTTCTTGATCCTGGTAGTATATTCGACTCTTCCTTTTCAGCTCCTTTTCATCTCTGTTGATCCGCTATTCGGTTGATCGGCTTCGAATGGGACGCACTCTGCACATTTGTGACGTTCTTACGTTCCCCTATACTATATGCTATTCCGACATACGTACGCTTCCGCGCCGTTTTCCGCTGCTGATCGAGAATATTGATCCTGCAAACCGCTGGTACCAGCCAGTTCGATCCAATCCCCTGATCCAAGGCAGTAGCAGTCAGCAATGCCACTCTACTGCTAGGAGAAGAATTATCTGGATAAACTTTCTTGATTGTTGCATTAGCATCCTCCATAACACCATTTTTACTGACATAATTGTCTGCTGTCTGCCACTTTGTAGATTATATTGAGGATTCTGCCGAGTACAGGACTTGCCTACGAAATTCATACATAAAAAACCGGAGGGAAAGCTTACCTAGGAAATTCTGAATCCAAGTATAGATATCCGATACTATAAAAAACACGTGCATTCTGAATCCAAGGACCACATATTCGTTCGCTACCCATCAAGGTAGTGCATTCACAAGCATCAAACCTTTCAGTTTTGTACAGATAGGCTCGCTACGTGGCATGCCTTCTACCTGCTACAAAAACCTAAAGTACACATAATTAGCCTACTCGAAGATGGCGATTCTCCCTTGAGCACCATGGTCCATGGTCGCTTCCTCTAATATAAGCAGCTGCAAAATTAGCAAAATAATTTCTCTGCTGAATGACTCCAGCTACTATTTCTTCAGAACCAATTCGAGTAGTCAAAGTCGCGGAGCTTCCTAAAGTGCTTCTCCACATCTTGCCTCGACTTTGCCCACTCCTCTCTTTGGATCACAGTGGTCGCATCATCCCTTTTGGTCTGATACAAACAGCCCACATTAGCCCTTGAAGCCTCCTACTACAACAACAATAGTAGATAGTATTCATGAAAAAAGCATATAGTACCTTGTCAATTATTCTGAATGATTCCCCTCCATCTCGTATGAGTAGCAAGTCATTTCTCCTGTCCCTCTTCTTTCCTTCAGGGACACTAACCTGTAATAAGCAGCTCGATATTGATAATCTCAACAAAACAAAAATTAACTAACTTAACTATGCAAAAAAAATGTGAATATAAATGTTTGTCACAAATGTCTAGATGAAAAGGCATAGGACTAACTGTGAAACCAATGACATCACAGACCCAGTTTACCAGTCATCCAAATGGTCGCATGCAATATTTCAAAGGATGGAAATCGTTAAACTAGTTCCTTCAAATCATCATGCAGATACTAATATACTTTTTTCTACTAACATTAGTGATGAAAGAGCTCCTGCAACCTAAATATATAATGGTTATGTACTTATGTTCTGAATGCTTCAAGAATTTAAATTTAAAGCGTCTTACCACAACTTTTGCTCTCGTGATTGACCTTGCTTTCGAGTCAATAACATATATCTCTTCAAAATCAAGGAAAAAATCTGGGTCGTTACACCGCCTATTCCTGTAATGTTTTGTTAAGAAAACCTACAGCATAAACAAATATGGAGCATATATAAATTTTGAAGAAAACAACAGTCCAGCATATATGCTCTTAAGGTATAAGAAAGATAGCATATTGGGTAGAAACTAAAAATAGTTTTAAGTCTGAGTCCCTGGTGAGAAGAACAACTAGTATTGATTATGACAAACAAAACAAGCATAAAGCAGAAAGACATGTTAAACAAGAATAACAGAGAATTGCTACACTGCCTGGATGGGAATTGAGTTTAAAAATGGCCTAATAGGGGTCCAGTGACTAGGCTAAGCAGAGCTAGCTGGTTTAAACTCCTAAGGAATTTTAGTTCTTACCTTATTTCCTATTTAGCAATATATGATCTTTGAGGACAATAAACAATGCATCGGATATCCCACAATTTGATCTATAGATTCAGATAACCACCACGTGGAATAAAACCTGTTGCTAAGCAATTTGGCATGACATGTAATCTTCACAAGTCACTACTACCATCAGTAAGGGCAATTTCTCACCAAACAACAATAAGGTCTCTACTCTGACAAGTATGGCAAAAAAAATAGGGATAAATTTCAGTCAGAATCTTTAAGGTTGGCAACTTCCAGCTTTCAAGCAGCATTACCCACTCAATCTTTCTTTATGACAAATATAATTGCATAACAGAGTGGTAGAACAAATTAGCAGAGGAAACAACACTCTCACACATACCTTCATGATCTCCCTTTCTGTCTTGTATAGGGGATCACGCAAATGCTCAACAGGCGGCTCACTAACGTGGTAACGACCAAAATTTTTCTTCATGCACCTCACATACTGCTTTCAACCAGGAAAACAATGATTACACCTCAATGCCCATTTACATTTGCCTGAAACAGATCAAAAAAAAGAGACATGGGCACCTTTTGCGGCATCGGAGCAAGAACCCTTGGGATGGAGTAGATGTCAGTGTCAGGCGGCGTGACATACATCTGTTGCACATTATGAAGGAACACATGATTTAGTTCAATCAACCTAAAAGATTGAGTTCTGTCAATTTGGATAGCACTGCAATGAATGTGTCATGAGATGTTGCATTAACAGATAGCATTGTCAAATACATGCTTGATAACACAGGCAATTAGCAAAGAATGTACTAGTGTTAGACAGATAAATGAGGATGTATACCTCCCGGAAGTCGAAGACGTCGTCGTCGGGGTCAGGCACCTTGCGGATAAAAAAGTCGCAGTGCAGTAGGCGAATCTTGTGGAATTCGTCCTCGTTGACGGAGTAGTCGACCACGGTGTCGGAGGCGGAGTCCTGCGTGGAGACGAAGCTCTGGGCGGCGACCATGGCGATGTCCCCCTCCTCCTCGTCGCCCTCCCCGGACAGTGGGCGCGGCGGCGCCTTGACGGGGGCGAGCAGGCGGTCGTAGTCGACGTCGTAGTCCTGCTCGTTGTCGAGGTCTTCGTCGTCCCCCACGCCGTCCCCGTCGTCGAGGTCGAAGTCCCCGAAGTCGTCGTCCATGTCGTCGTCGCCGTACGCCGCGGAGACATCGCGCCGCAGGAGGGGCAGTGGGGTGGCGCCGCGGGAGAGGGAGGCGGCGAGGAGAAGGGACGTGGAGGAGGAGGGGTTAGCTAGGGTTTTGGAGAGCGGCGAGGGGAATGGATAGGGGAAGCCGGAGGCGGAGACGACGAGAGAGAGCGACACGGTGGCCGCCATGTCTGAGTTTTTTTTTTTTTGGCGCGCGGTCGAGAGCGAGTATATCCATCCACGTAGGTGTGTCGAGATGTATTAGCACGAATCTTAAAGCACCCAACTTTGTTCTCGATTGTTCTGACGGCGAGAGAACCAACCAACCCTACCTTGGCTTTGCCGGCGGGCGGCGGCGATGGCGTCCGCGACGGAGGCGGAGGCTGAGGAGAGGGACAAACCCATCGTCGTCCGTGTCAAGCGCAAGCCCTCCCAGACCCGCCCCGACGCTTTCTGTGAGTAAACCTCTCTCCTTTCCTCTCATTGCTCCTCCCCCTTTCTCTACCCAACTTCATAGTGGAAAAAAAACAGACATGATTTTTGTGATTCGTTAGGGCTAGAGATCAATGAGAGGCCGGTGAAGAAGGCTATGCTCGATTTCTCCAGCCTTTCAGTCTCCGAGCCATCCTCTGCTCCTAATAAAGGTATCTACTTCTACTTGTCACACGCTTTTTTTTTCCCTTTCATAAACATATATGAGATACTGAGGAGATAATTAGTATCAAATATTAGGACAGAAGCAACATTTTTTTTCTTTCAGAAGAATATATAAGTGAGATACTAAGGAAGAAATTAGTATCAAATTAAGGGCAAACATATTTATGCATTAAATATAAGGTGAATCGGTGAGTATTAGCGTCGAAAGCATGGCTCGAATGCAGGCCTCACAGATGCAAGGCAACATCTTTACCACTGAGCTACACCTAGGTTCTCATTTGTGACACGCTATTAACTTAATCAGTAATCACACCAGCAGTTGCTTGTCTGTGCAAATTGGTGCCGGAAGATACTCGTCCTGATAATACAATAGTAGGATTCTACTTACCGGTTAATCAGCCTCCATGATACCGCGAACATGAGTTGCATATAATGTACTTTGACACTGCACATAAATGTGATATTCATATTTTCTGTGCTTACAGCTTCAGAGGAACCACGAATTAAGAAACTTCTGGTACAGCACATTGAGACAGTACACCATTCTGAGGCAGTTCAAGATGTTTTGCACTCTCTTCTGGTAATAATCATTTTCTTTTCCTTGCTTGTTAAATTTGTCTAGTCTTCTACAATTTGGTTTCCTCGCATATGGCATAATCAGTTCAGTTAATGTGTCATTACTCATCAGCATCTGAGTATATCTCCTGTTATTACTTTTCAGGGAGTTATATAGACAATAGAGCTCAGTATTTGATCTTGAACAATTTTTTGATTGACTTATGGAGACCAACATTATGCAACTAAATTATCTTTTGAAAAAAAAAGTATTGCGAGCTGTACTTTACCTTATGTACCATAAGAGTTGAACAGTGGATCACAATTACTCCATTTTACTTTGTAGCATTCTGACTTGGATGCCAAAGAGATAAAGAGCAAGACAAAGGAATGGAACAACAGAACTAATCAAGATAAAGTAAGTCAAACTTTTTCCTAGTATTTACTTATTTTAATTGTTATAATTTTACCATGTCTTCAGTTGTTCCCATGAAAAATATTATTAGTAAACGTTTCTTTTAGTATTTTCCTTGAATATTTGAAAGACCCTTCACTGATAGTAACAGCTACAGTACTTTACTACTGCTTTATGCATCTTGTTCTTGAAGATTTTGAAATAAGGAAGGTTGTTATGTACTTTTCATATGCTAACATTGTTCTTTTTTCTGCGAACAGAAACAAGACCAGCTACGATCAGCAGCCAGACAGAGGCATGAGGTGTGCCTATTTTCTTACTATAGTCAACTTCATATGCTTAAGTTTGTAGTTGTACTAACTACTATGAATTTGGTGGATAGAGTATATGAAGGAAATATTTTATGGATTGACCCAAAAATAGGAGAGACAGGGTTCGTGATATTATCTTTGAGCCAACTCTATTAAGTTTGGTCATTCCCAGGTGTTGTTATTGGCATGGGCCTTGGAGAATCGTATTACATATGTTAGGACTTGGTAGCCGGCTGATACAGTATTATTAGTACCCTTCTTGTCACTAGAATTTTTTTGGGTCGAATCATTTGCTACACATCCAGAGAAGAGATGTGGCAGTGCCTTCTTGTGCTGTTCCCACATTTTTATGCAAGTTTTGTTCATTAATCCTTTATAGGACCTTGGAAGAAATGCTCGCTTTGCACAAATTTGGAGGAGTCGGAAAGGAGACAGGAATGAAGTTGATGAATCACTACGAGAAATATGCCATCTTTATGATGCTGTCCAAGTAGATTCTGATGAAGAGAAGCATCCAGCAGAACCAAGGCAAGTTTTTCCTTGTGAGATTTATTAGTTCTTCCAAAAACGAAATGTTGTACTGTTTCATGGTTCTTATCGTGTTTCTCTTCAGGATTACCTCTTTTGAAGAGGGTGCAATTTTATGCAATTTTCTTCCACTTATACGGGAACATTTGCCATCAGCTGCTGAAGAAATTGAATCAGATATTATTTCGCTGGCACAATCGGAAGGTCTGTAACTTTTCCTTCAGATGTTCAAAAAAAAATCTGAAATTTCGATTGTAACTTTTACTTTAGAAATTGTGGATTTTGGTTGCCTTTCCATCTATTAATTCATAGTTGAGCCAGCTAAGGCTAAAATATGCTATTCTTGGAGGTGTTGAATTCAGTTCTGTATTGACTATGGAGAAGGAAGTAGGATGTGATTAGTGTGAAATAAATTCTGCCACTCCTGTGCTAACGCAAGATTGAACAGACCAATGATTTTCTTTATGGGTTACAACCTTTAGTGTGAGGAGACATATTTTTCGCTCTTCATTTGTCATTCATACCAATGTCATGAATGTTTGAATCATGAATTAGTTATGTGCATAAGGCTCAAACATAGCGAGAACTTTTGCTCCAGCACTAGTTTTGATGGGCATGTTTTTTCTGATGAGCAGATTCAGATGTTTATGACATATATACTGTCAAAGAGGTGGATGATGATACAACAATGGAGGGCACATCTTCAGCTCCATACCCACTGTAATCTGATTGACATGTGTTTACTATGGTACATTCTTCTGTGGTGATCTTTTCTGAGCATTCCTTTTTACATCAGGTTACAAGTGGACAATGGCGATGATGTGTGTTATGATGATGACGATCCTTATGATACAGATGATTCAAATGGTAATTGTACAACCGTCCACCTGCTTCCATGGTGAACCAGTGAGAGTCCTTATTATCTGATTTTCTTAACTTGTCGATCTTGAATACGCAGCGGAGGATAATCCATTATATGATTATCCTGCGGAGTTGTCAGAAGATGAGGATGATGATTCCAATAGCGAGAATCCATTTTCAGACCTAGACGGTTCTGATCCCGAGTATGAGAAGGAAGAGGTGGAGGAAGAAAGGGATGAAGACGGGAGATAGAATCTATGCTTGGGGTACAAATATGGGTAGTAACTAGAGATAAGATGATGTATGGGCTAGCGGTTGAGCTGGCTGTGATGTTTACCTGTTAGGTTGGCTATATGTGAGAGAACTTTTGGTGTTAGTATACTGATGAATTGTATTCCCAGCCTCAGCAACTCTCAACTCTCAGCGTGTTAGACCTGTAACTCGATATGATCACTGAAGGAGAAGTGTAGGAGTAAGAAGAATGAATTATTAAATATGGGAGAATTTCCTGGCGAATTCGAACGTGTAATCATTGAAGGCAAGCAGCTTGTTGTTGGATAAGATAGATAGCTCATTGCTGGAGTCATTGTTGAAAAAAAGTCTCATTTTACTCCCGTTACTAGTATAGCATATTGTTGGTAGTATCTTGTCGGCTCTGCCCTTGAAATATCTTGTTTGGTTTTCGATGCTGCTGCTGGCTGTAACTAGCTTGAATTGGATGAGAAGACGACTGATTCATCATCATCATCATCATACTCATACAGAAAGCTTAGCTTTTGGTGATGCCTCATTAACAGTTTGAAGTGATGATGATTGCAGGCCCAGCCCAAATAGGAGGAGGTCCAGACTTTTCACAGTGTGAACTGAAGTGATGATGATTGCAGGCCCAGCCCAAATAGAAGGAAGACCAGAAAAGTCTGGACTCCGGAAGAAAGCGGCGCGGCGGGGCGGGGCTTCGCTTCTTTCCGTTGTTCGTCCCAAATCCCAATCAGATTCCGAGGGAGCGCAGTCGCAGTAGCAGGCCAACGATCGAGTCGAGTGGAGCACAAGGAAAGGAACGCATCGGCATCGCCTCCAAACCCTCCCTCCATCTTCTTGATTGCGGTAACTTCTTCTTCTTCTTCTTCTTCTTCCTTGGATGAATCGAGAATTGGAGATCCCCACTTGCGAGTACTCTTGCCTAGCTGCCGTAAACTTGGAATTGGTTGGTAACCGATATCGGCGAATTCAAGGAATGTTTTCTTTTTTTCCCTCCTCTTTACTCAAGAGATCAGATAGGGGATACCTTAATTAGGCTTGCCCACCAGTAATGACATCTTTGATGCCCTAAATCCTGACTTCCTCACACGCTACCAGTGACTCCATCTCATAGCCTTCTAAATGATTGCCCACTGGTTATTGCATTTTCTATTCTCGTTGCTTCACATGTAGTACATCCATGAATTGCGTATTCACCAACACCAATTTAATGTTAATTGCTAGGATAAAGAGCCAACCATGGAGGATTTACCTTCAAATCTGGGTCAGCCTTCTACTTCTGCATCATCTGTATGTGCTTCTACTTTTTTTCCCTATGTTACTATTTGCTGGACCACCCCTATGCATTCACTTGCCAAAAGTTTGTCCTGGATCAATATAGCCTTTTGTTGCCATCATAGGCAGCCATATCATGATTCCAATTTTGTTAATGTTCATTGATATATCTAGGTTGATGCTAGTTATTCAGCCAACAGGATTGAAGATTCACAGCTCTTCCTCTCCGTCCCAGCTTTAAACCAAGCTGCGTCTTATCTGGCCCAGACAGCTTCATATCTTACCCAGTGCCTCCCAGTATCTGGTTACACAGGTTAGCTTCTCCTTGACTTCGCCGAATGACTCTTTTGTGCCAATTTCATAACAAAATACACAATGTGGTAATTCTGCTGCATCTCCTTGATTTATTGCACAGCTATTTCTGACGAAGGGCAAGAGCTAGCGACGCTGCCACCTGCATCAACTGCTGGTGGATCCTCTTTTCAGGCTTCTTCCGAACAGTCAGCAGACTCATCTCCTGGTGAAATTGATAATACTGGAAGCTCATCTCAAGAAATCACAGAACAGATGGCACCTTTGCGCGTCTTCCAGAATGGGGCTTCACTGTTTCAAGGGTACAGACTGCTTTTGCATTTGGTTTTTCGTCTTGTCCTGTGAATTCTAATCAAACAAATAGGTGATAGTGTGACACAAGCTGCAAATACCATATCATCACTATATCATGAATAAACTATGCATGCTTGAACTTTATGAAGTGTTAAGTGCACTTGTTAAGTTGTTATGCAATTGACATCTATTGGAACTGACTCTTTTTTTAGTGCACACACTTCTATTTTATGCACTGTACCAAATAATCAAGTCAATAGGTGTGCATGAAAACACGTGTCATTTGATGTCCATTAAGAGTAAATTGGAATATAAAATTTAGCTTTCGTGGATGAGGTGTTCTTTTATAAGATGTTCTGGTGTTGGGAGGACTAGTCTTTGATATCCTTAATATCTTTTTGTCAGTCTTGTAGAACGTGCTCGGAAAACTGTTCGTGGCTCAGCCGATGATATTGGATGGCTTCAGCAGGATCAAAGCTTACCTCCAACTGAGGACGGAACTGCCAGATTCTTGGAAATTCTTGATGCTGTGAGGTCAGCAAACATAATAATTTGCATTTCAAAATTTCAATGTTTAAATTATGCAACTGCTCTTAATAAAAGATGTAATGTATGCTTCGTCTTTTTTATCTCATGTGATCATTTGATTCACTGTCAGAAAAAATGAACACAAGCTGCCTGATTCGATGGTCTATCTGTTGGTTCCAGGCAAGTTTGCTGCCACTTTGGTTGTGAATTCGCATTTTGGCAATTTTCTGTGTTGACATTAGCTTTTCTATTGTTTGCAGGCTTGTTTAGTAACCATGGGCCTCTTTACTTTGTCAAGACAAAATCATATTTCTCCAAGATGGGTCTGGCTTGTCACATTGCCAAGATTCACAGTGAGGTACTTCCATACAGTAATATTCTTTGTTACTTACTCTTAATATTGTTTTCATCAAGTAACATATAATGAATTATACAGTCTTCAGTAAGTAAAAATGCAAGGGAAATAAAGGAATATATAGAAGAAATATACTGGGGATCGAAGAAGCGGGTGCTACTTCTCGGCCATAGCAAGGGTGGTGTAGATGCAGCAGCAGCCCTCTCCCTTTACTGGCCACAACTGAAAGACAAGGTCGCAGGTTTGGCTTTAGCTCAAAGCCCATATGGAGGAAGCCCGGTTGCTTCAGATATCTTGCGAGAAGGCCAGCTTGGTGATTATGTCAGGTTACGTAAACTCATGGAGATTTTGGTATCCAAAGTCCTTAAGGTATTTGTCTTGATGAGCTTGATTGTTACCTTGTCAGCCTGCACAATGGACGACACTGATGTTTATTGTTTTCTCTTTTTTTTTCCTTCAGGGTGATCTTCAGGCTCTGGAAGACCTGACATATGAGAGGAGGAAAGAATTCCTGCGGCAGAACCCATTGCCTCCTGAGGTTCCCATTGTCTCATTCCATACAGAGGCTAGCATCACCCCAAGTGTGCTTACTGCCCTCTCTCATGTTGCACACTTGGAGCTCCCAGCTGCAGCTGATGGGAATCCTACTAGGATCCCAGTTGTAATGCCACTTTCAGCTGCAATGGCAGCATGCTCACAACTTCTGGTGGCAAGGTATGGTGAGAAGAGTGATGGTCTTGTGACAAGGAAGGATGCTGAAGTTCCTGGATCAGTAGTAGTCCGGCCAGAGCGGAAGTTAGACCATGCATGGATGGTTTATTCTTCACTCAAAGAGGAACCTAGGGATCAGGCAGACACATCACAGGTATGTGAAGCCCTGCTGACTCTGCTTGTTGAGGTTGCACAGAAACGGAGGCATGAGATGGCTATGAAAGATGAATAAAAATGTTAGTGTTGCTCTGACAGATATTTGTAATCGTAGATTTCTGTTGTTGAATGTTCAGAGTTGTGTGGCTGTGTCCAAACTTATGCTGAAACTGCTTCTGGGCCACTTTTTTGTTTGGTTTACAGAAGCTTTATATATCAAGTGAATCTGAAAGGTGAAAAAGGCTACATTGGAAGTGTTTCTCTTTTTTTATTATTATTAGTTAGCATAACGGAATTGCATGATTTGGTCATATCTCACGTCTCACGGTATTCCCCTCGCAATCAGGTGATTCGTCTACTAGGTCTGAATTTGATTATGGTTGTTAAGTATATTAGGCATGATTCATGAGTCATGGGTACGGAACAGCCTGGGATTGCAATCTATAGAACTTTATATCCTAGTTTGTTGTAGATTCTTCACAATAAATCGTCGAACTCGTGAAAGGGCATCTACTGTTGTCATGGTGTTTCGAATTTCATAATGCTATACACAATGGATAGGTTCTGCTTCATCATTCTAACCGATTGCTGCTGGTTGAATGCTTCCTCCTCATCTGATCAACCTTTGACATGTCCACTGGTAATATTGAATTTGTAGACCTTGCTATTTTACTCTGCAAATTTTGTCCACTTGATGGAATGCAAAGTACTCATCTATGCATTGAACTGTAATTATTTCTGCAGGGAATGGTCCAACAATAGTGTTCAGAACAGCTCCTGCTAGGCCCCATGAGGAAGTCTCCATTCTGGAGCATGTCCATGGTGTCTGTTGACAATGGGTGGTAGCAAAGGAGGTTGAGAAATAAGGGCAGAACTATGGCCCATCTGGTTGCAGCAGAGGAGCAAAAAAGCTTAATTGGGTAATTCACTCAAATTCAACTATTCATGGTAATAAAAATATAACTGTACATACTGTTCATGCTACCTTAGGTTATATCATGCCAAGCATGCAACTACAAGGTGCATAATGCAAATGCACATTACAAGATAGGCATAAATTGGTCATGTTCATGTGCAATTGCTTCCTTTATGCTATGAAGTGGCATGTGAAATTAAAGTGTATGGAGGAAATGCTATATTAGATCTCATCTATAATGTTGTTTCTGACTTCTGGGGCATTTTCAGTTCCATCACATGGCTACTTCAATTTGTCTATTTACCAGTTTATTATACAGCCACAGGAAAAAGAAAAAAAAACTTTTTAATTAGTCATGTGTGCACTTTTCTTTTGCTTTGAAGAAATGCTACCTTTTTTTTTTCTTGTGGATGACAAGTCTCATCACTGTACTCTCACAAAACAAAGGCCAGATTGTTGCAGAGTTTCTAGTATGCTGACAGTGTGACACACAGATGAACACGGTTGAGGAGCAAGAAAGGAGAGAAGAGCAGGGAGTGGCACATGCGCCAAAAGGTACAGAGGTCCTATGACCACACCACCCATAATCCTGTTCTGAAGCAGCCTACCTGTAAACAGCTAGCTTGCTCTTCTTTGCTTCTGTAATTGTGTTGCTCTGTGCCAGTGCACTCCACCCCCTCGTCCTGACTACTCCTGACATCGTGCTTGCTCCAAACAAAAGTTCACATCCACCAACCATGTATTACATTGATGAACAAGCACTGCAGGT